GCGGCATCTATCCCCCCTGCTTTTTCCGTAACATCTTCGGACAGACATGGGGAATGTAGAGAGCTGGCAGAAAGTCGCTCGCTGCCTTCCCCGGATATCACTGATGCAACAATGGGTGATGCTTATGTTGCCTTTATTCTTTATTGCAACCCATACGTTCCGAGCGGAACTGATACGACTGAATTACGTAGGATATTTCGCATGCCACCACGGAGCGAGGGCAAAAACTTTAGTATATTTACCCTGTGGCAACTCATTCAAAAGCTCGATCGTAAAGAGCTAAAAACGTGGATTCAATTAGCGATGGAGCTGGGGGTTGAACCTCCATCAGTGGAGAAGAAGCAGAGCACTCAGAAAGTTCAACAATATGCTGTGCGACTTAAGGTATGTTGGGCGCCCTTCTGTTGTTAAAACAAAACCGATACGGATTCTAATATCACCCTAGCGTTGGATGCGTGCAATGCACGTAGATGCATTTTTTGAATACTGTCTGGGACACCAACACATTTACTACACCCAATTAACTTCTTCTACTAACTCGAGTACGGAAAGTCGGGACGGTGTGCCGCGAGACGAAGACTTGGCTCTAAGAGCTCTGTTTCCCCAATGGAAACCCAAAAAGGGACGAAAGAGAGCTGAAGCAAAGGAATTTGATGACTCAAAGACATCTAAGCGGCCTCATTTTGATATTCCCGGCGTTGAACCGGAAGATAACACTTTGAGTTACAATCCGGAAACATTTCTTCACTCAGCTATGCAGCGCTCTGCAATTCCATGGAGTGCCTTTCCAGACGACTTGGAGCAACATGACCCATTTGCATCTCACTCTGCGCTTGGGACAGAGCCGAGTAACACAGATAACCATTCGAATCAACACCGAATGATCTCTCGAGACGTTGATTCTCGCTGGCGTTCGCCAGGACGGGAAGTATATCCAGCACTGCATTACCCGCAGTCAGCTATTACCCCACGCTGCCGTGATTCGGAGACCCTCATGTCAATTGAACCCCGATCCGCCATTACTCCCTCATCAGCTGATCGAGCAAATAACAAACGACGTCGTGGTCCGGCTGTTTCTTCGGCCTGGCCTACAAGTGGTAATTTATCAAACACTAAGATGAGAGGTCGCCCGGGAGGCAATCGAACAACCCAAAACGGACCATTTTCGACTTTCCCAGTTCAATCAGCAGATAAAGAAATTGAGCCGCCGGAAACAAACATTGAGCATACAGGACGGAGCCACTCCGGGCTGATGCAAAAGGGCGTATCGAGTAATGCATCCGGCAAAGCTTCAGATGCATCTAGATTGGCTCCTGCTTTCCAACCACTCAATACAAGGCCCGCCAGGTTGCAATTACAAGTCCCCCAGAATATCGGAGCTCCAGTACGATTGGCGACACCCCCGACAGTACTAGAAAATGGAACGAGTAGAAATTCTCCTTCCTTAGCTGGAGGGCCTGCTCGTCAGCAGTCGAATGAAATAGAGAGTGACCTGCGCCCATTTTCTGCGTACGGCCAACAGCATGATTTGCCTGCAGCCGGTTTTACGCTTGATGATGTTGCTCATGCATTTTCGCTTCACATACACCAAGGCAGACTCCTGAACCGTGAAGAACCCCTTAGCTTGGAGGAATCGAGAAGTATTGCTGACATGGCCATTAAACAAGTTATGACCATGTGCTCACCCGGAATACCCCTGAGTGTAACTACAGTTTACTGCGCTGCATGCCTTGGAGTTGGATACAAGCTTGGCTTGGGAGGCTATCCACCAGGGCAACTCGTTGTGAAGGCTTGCTTCGATAGCTTGGGCACCAAACACCAAGGCCGAGCAACGACACCGCAGCCACCTGCGACAAGAACAATAGCTCGCTATAGTCTCAGCTACGATTTCACCCCTGCAAACTTGCTTACTGTGCACGCAACTATTGCTGTTAACCAGAATCAGGAATCGGTAAATGCCGACTCAGGGATGGGCCGTGTGCTTGAGGATTATGATTCGGAGGATAATATCATAAATGAATCAGACTCCGCAGCCGTATGGAAGCAAAGATACTTAAATATACGGAAGCAAAACCGAAAGCAAGACCTGGCGCTGGGCAAGTATAAGAAGAAAATACTTGAGGCTGTCATGGAAGATATTTAGGTTAGCAGATTTGATCCTGACATGGTGCCCTAGACTGCAATTTTCACCTTTTCCTTTGGTCTTTGTGGGATGATAATTGAAACTAGACCTACCAATCTTCACCTGAAATTGCGATGCCAGTGTTTGATCAAATACCCTTGATTAAACATGATCCTCAAACTACTGCTTTATGTTTGAGATTTTTGCTCTTTCTTCTGTGCCGCTGCATCTATTTCATCGTTGTATTTTGAATGAAATCTATACCCCTTCTTTCTTTTTGCCATTTATATACTTCGGACTTTGTTTTATACACCTGACTGCTTTTCTATGATAAGTCGTGACTGGGAGTCTACATTTCTGTTTTCACTGCTTGGAGTTCGTTGGAATCGTGGCTCTTTCAAGCTCGATATATTAGCCTAAATCCTCTTACTGGGATATTCATTTATTTCCCTTTTATAGCGCTATAAACCTTGGGGAGATATCAGGTTTCTGGATTTGTTTCTGACACTCCCGCACTGTCTACAAGTAAATATTCAGGTATGCAAACTCCTTATTCATTTATTTCTGCGGCATATAAAGCTATTCTTCTGAATAACCAGTTCAAGCACCAGAAACCATTTTTATTCATTTTGGATTGAATATACCAACTTTCCCCATTCTGTTCCAGTATTAATTCCAAGTGTTACTTTAACCTTCCCTTATAGTTTAAACTTTCAGGATGTCTCACCACGTCTGTATTACTGCATATTGCTTCAAATCTCTGAATCTCCAGCCTCCAGGATGCCCAATTCCCCATCCTCGGGACCTTTATAGCCGGCCGCGTTGCCTCCATGCGCAAAACTCCCATCCCCACCAGAACCACCAGAAGCGGGCCCTTTGGGCAAGGCGTTTATCGCGCAAAATTCATTGTACAAGTATCCCTCTTCGTGGTCGAAAGTGATCCCTGCAAGCCCAGACCCTTCAGATAAAACTGGGTCATTGAGGGACTTCATCGCAACTTCTTGCCCCTCCACACCGAAGACATTAGCATCTACGCTTTCGCATTTTATAGGCCCCTTGCTGGGAATTGCATTGTCTGAATCGGTGTCCTCGATTTTGACTTTTTTCTCAGTGTTGTTAGCCTTGATAGAGGTCTTACGCTTGGGGGTGAATGGAGTTTTTGTTCCTGACGCGATAGTTGGCCTGGCGGGAGTTTTAGGAGTGGATTTTTTCGGAGTTGTCCCATTGCTGCTGGCTTCATGTAGAGAGGGCTCGTCAGTGCCGGACGCTGGGCCATCGTTTGGATTGATACCATTTGCTTTCATCAAGCGTTCATAGCGCTTCGCTCTATATGTAAGATGGTTAGCTTTTTGCGGTTTTATTACGTCAAGGAGATCTCAGCTTAGTGATGGTGGAATGTGATTCGATAATAATGGGGTGGTGGTATCGGTCTATATCATTCGGTGGGATGCGCAACGTTTGGCACAGTATAGGGCAATGTACAAGATGGCATTTTTTTTCTGTGCTTGGATATAACTTACGCTGCGCCCTTAGAGACGATATTACACTCTGCCGCCACTTCGGTGAAATCCACCTGGATTTCGGTATTGTTGAGTTCAGAATGAAAAGCTATAAGGCCGCAAAATATGTGGAGCGTATGGAACATACCTTTCCATTGCTTGAGTGTTTGACACATTTCAGCAAGAAATTAAGCTGCTCGTCGCTGCTAATGCGGGACATTTTGGATATGCCGCTTCCCTGTGAGACTCTGAAGATTGGGGGAGAAGAATCGAGGTATTTTAGTGTGCAAGTTTGAACAACTATTCTATGGGTAAAAGTAGTGAGTGATGGGAATTGGATTGCCAAAGTGTTCTCAGATCAGGAGCAATGCTGACAAGAGATGAGAAGATACCAGGGAATTGAAGCAGACATAACCCTCTATGTTCTGTTCTCAATACTGAGAAACAAACAAGGTGACTTGTGAAACAGATGGATTTGTGAGCATTACTTACTATGTATGAGGTGATCTGCAAGTGAGAATGATGGACACTCAAGATGAAGATGAAGAAAGGGCTGCGGTAACATAGGAGTTTGATGTCACTGATAGAGAAGTTTTGTGTCAAAGAGGTGAAAGAAGTCAAATGCAAGATATAAAAGAGATTAGAGATTGCTAAACTGCAAACTGAAAACAATGAAGAAAATATATGGACAAGAAGATGCTGAATGAAAGCAATAAAAAATATAACACTTCAAATGTGATAATGGCCTTCACATCAGAAGAGATAACACAGATAATTTTAGACGAATTCACACTTAAAACCACTTCAATTGAAATGTTAGCAACATAGAATACTCATCATGAGAATTATTCGAAGCAGATCTTGATACCTTTGTCTGACAAATTTCTATTTTATCTAGAACCATTGAGATATTTTCTAACATTGGAATTTACATAGACCATGGACGAAGAGTTGGCAATAAAGAGGTTGCATCCTCATCATTATCCTATCGGCATAGCCACCTTTCCCCCCTCCAACCTCCCTGATCGTGAAGAATGCAATATTTAGAGAAAATAAATCCGCGCAACGACTCTGAATTGAAATTCAATAGGTAAGATGGGGCAGATCTTGTCGAGAATACAAGAAATAGACTGTAGGTGTTTAGAGCAAAGAGACCTTTCCCATGAACCTCTGAAAGAATAATAAAAACTACCTGGATCTCTAGCCAAACCATCCGATTTCCCATGAATTTCGCCGTCAGTCGCTGGAAGTAATAACTTTTTGTATTCGAGGATTATGTGAGAAAAGGCCTAGGAAGTGTCAGTTATACAGCAACTAAGTGAGATGAAAGCAGATGACATGTAACGGACCTGGCAATATTAACCCAGAAGCGCAATAGATCATGAGATATCTTCAGTGACCTGAGCGCTCACTTCTTCATCCTTGACAATGGCAGTGGTTATATCATCCACAGTGATAGGAGCCTTGGGTTTACGGGGTTGTTTTGCGCATGGTTTTCTTCCTGGCTTGACCTTTTCAGCTTTGACATCTCCACCACCTTCCTCAGCAGATTCCATCTTTGTTTTAATCGGTCTGCTAGATACCTTTGCACCTTTGCGTAGGGTAAGAGCCTCTCCACCCGCAGAAACATTAGAACAAGTCAAATGCTGCTGCAGATTGAACCGCTTCTTGATCCCGCGAATGCGATTGGCAACAGATCCGGTGTGACTGTAATTAAGGGCCTTGGCCACTGCGGCGATATCAATCTGAAAGAAGATATTAGCATGAAATAAACAATCTAGAGACGAAAGTTATGTGCTGCAAAGATTACATACAGTAGCAGGAGTTTGAAGATGTTTCATACACTCCATCATGAAGAGAGCATCAGAAGCTCTCGCTTTGTTCTCTGGGCTTTCGACAGCAGTACCGTTGATATCAGCCATTCGGGAAATATTGGATTGAAAAATGTTTGGTCAATATGGGAAGTAATCGAAGCAAGAGGGAAAATGAGGCGTGACTGCGATGGATGTGGATGGTTGCTGGTTCTTGTGATGTTTAGAAAAGGAAATCAAGACGTCAAAGGGTAACAGATGTGAATAAAGGAAAGAGGTGTAGAGGGCAGTGATGTAGAGGTGATGACAATTCTGCATGAGGCTTCAGTACGGGGGGAAATAATCACAAAGTAGGTAGAGTAGAGCAACATAACTGCAGTTGAACGATAGAATGTGTTATACTTGTTGCAAGCGAACAACCATCTGACATTCACTGCCCCCGGTAAGCTGTTGCTTCCCGGGGAGTGTTGTGCCAGTGTGTTGAGCCAGTATGTAACAAGACAGAATAAGATTTAAGTGGCTGGTGAAAATAAACACGTATAGTGTCTGCACGCGCGTAGAAGTCAGGGGTAGAATTGTCAGGCTACGTTTCAAAGAATTGCGAGAGCATCGAGGGTAGGAGGCTGCTATGGACGCTGAAGCTCAAGTCATGGACTACATGCAGAGGGGTGGCTTGGCATATCAGGGACTCACGACATGTGTTTTTTTGGGTGAGTTCCCGCAGCTGTTAAAGCCATCTGTTAAGACCTCTAATACACCGCGTTGAAGCAACAAAAATGTAGGGAAATATTCCTAGAAAATTCACAGAAATGACGGAGACGGTGAACCTAAGAATACAGAGATAAGTACGCTAGAAGATCTGGGTATTCATATGCATTCAGCTAGGAGGGGGTCAATTGTTATGCAGCGGTGGAAGGCAAGACATGAATATATCATTAGCAATTCATAAACAAAACTTCTGTAACTATCAACTTCTTTTCTCACTAATTCTCAAGGTCCATAGAATCAATGTTTGATGCTTGAGGGACAGGTCTGATGTCAACATTGTTCTTTTCTCCAAACTAGGTGTTTTCACTTAATTTGGTTAACCCATCAGGCGACGGAGCCGCATCTCCCTCCTCTTTTTCCATCTTAATTCGGCTCCATTCTGCAGCGGTTGGCGGTGGTCTCGAAAACCTGATAACTGGGCTTCTGATCGGATAGGGAAGGGCAAGGTCACCGGGTGCAACAGTCATTGTGGAGAAAGGCTGCTGCTCTATGACAGGAACAGGCGCTGGCATATATTCCATCGGCAGAAATGTGTCATTCAATTCAATATCCGTTTCTTGTTTCACCATTTGCTCTGCTTTGGCGGTTGGTTCCTGCTTTGGCTCACTGAACTGCTGATGCGTTTTCGACTGTGTTTTGTCAACTTTGGTCTTTTTAGGACGCGGCGTGCGGTGGGTGGTGGTGATTCCTTCCATGTGTTGTCGAAACCTAGAAAAACGCATCCTCGCGGCATGGCCATTTGTGATTTCTAGCTGCGATGCTACAAGGTTCCAGTCGATCTAGTATGTGGTGTGAGAGGTTTGATTTTAGTAGTAGTAGAGAAAAGGAGATCAGGATGGCAGGACAAAAGTAACGAGCTTACCGATTTCAGGTCCAGTTGCTTTAATATTGTATAAAGGAACTTGGCGGTCTGTCCATCAGCCGGCATCGTTTTGCTTCTTTTGAGGCTGGCCATTTTGCCAACTATTGCAGAACGCGCGACTGGAGACAGTGGTCAAGATGTTGAGGTAGATCGTGGGGTTGCAGCGTTGAACTGGAGATGCAGTTGTTTGAGTATTCACTGTCCCCCGAAAAGATAGAAGCAGCAGTCATCAAGAAAACCAAGTATAGCAAAGGCTGATGTGGTTGAATAAGTGAATTAATGATAAAAATGATTCCAAGAATTCATGGCACTTTAGATACCCAGATACCCTGAATGCTAGGTTTTCTTTTTGCACATAAAACAAAGGCAGTGCCACTATTTGTCAGTCTATCGGATGCTTGCTGCCATTTGTACCGGATAACACAGCTCCCTGCATTAAAACACAAGACAATCTTTCCGGCACACAATAAAGGGAAACTTGGAAAGGAGGGGAGGGGGGAGGTTGCTCTAAGAAAGAAGATTGTACGCGTTATTATGTGCGGGCAATTAGCAGAAAATGAAGCCTGGGTATTCCGCATAGATCCGTAGCAATTGCTTTTGGCGATAGAATTGTGGAAGCGTCGGTTCGCAGGGTGTCCATAGAAGGGGACAGATAAATCCGAAACACACTGAAGTATGTTAGGGCTATGCATAGCATCCTAGAGGTAGCTGTACCAAAATGACGAAATTTTAGTTGTTGGTTGATAATGAGGAAAAAGTCCTGAAACTAGTGTTTACTGACCTCGCAATTCCCCAATTTAGCAAAGCGCACCCTGCAATTTCAGCGGTTCCTGGGAATAATGCTCTGACAGCTCATCTATACACTGTTGAGAGTTTCGCGTAACCTTGCCAGTAATCAATTGCATCTCATGAGTTCTGGGATGTTGGCAGCTGCTCATAGCGCGTCAAGACAGCTGCGAGTTTGTTCGCCACAACATTCTCAACATCATCCAATCTCGATCTCAAACGTTTTTCAACATCGTCTACCTTTGACAGAAGGTTTTCATGAGAAAGGGCATCTGTTCTCGACCGGAGATAGCCAATCTCATGCGTCATTCGATCTCTTTCCGCGGTCATATCGGTTACTAAAGCCGTTCGTGCATTCTCTGCAGTGCGAATTTCACCACGTATGGAGTTAATTGTGGTGATCAGTTTGTTTGTCGTTTCCTTTATGCTGACGATTTCTTGCTGCACGGAACTGGCATGAGGATACATTTCCTGCATTGCCGCCACCATATGCTGAACAATTGGTTCCGTGGAAAGATGATTATATCGCGTTTCAAGGGAATGGAGAGCGGTTTGGTGTGCCTGCTGTAATTGTGACTGGTTCTCCAGGAACTGATTTACCCCTTGTAAAGTCTGCTGTATTTCCTCAATTTCAGCTTTTACAGCAGGAACGGTAACACTAGAGGGCTGAGTGTTGCTTCCCACCATCTGTTTTAATTTCGCTAACTCGTTTTCCATAGAAGCCACTTTGGATTCAAATTTGTCAAGTTCATCCGCGATGGCCTCGTCTTTTGCCTCTTGAACATGTCGAAGATTCTGGACTTGACCCATTATTTCCGCAACGGTGCCGATTGTGGTGCCATTATTTGTAACTCGCATAGAATCCCACTTTTCACCCAAAACACTACACAAGCGCTGTTGTTCAGAGATTTTGCGACCCACAATTTCAAGCCGGTTAGAAAAATCTTCCTCACGAGTTTTTACCGAAAGTTCTGTCTGCTTGCGTTCATCTGCAATCGTACAGATATATGAATCCATATGTTGTTGCTGTTTCTCAAGTATCTCTAGTCCCATAGACTTGACTTTATCTGTAATTATAGATCCAAGGGAGTTCTGCTGATCGCTATGCTTCGCGATCAATTCATCTTTCACGTTCTTTAGTTCTATATTTGTGGAATTAATTCGTTGCTCGATATCGGCCGTTGCCTGATTCAAATCCCGTTTCACATCTTCAAGCTTAAGCTGACTCTCGGCCCACTGTTGAGCAGAGTTGAAATTTGAGGCCAAGAGTTTAATCAGATGATCTTGCATTTTCTCATAACTTCGAAGTTTTTCATCAACTCTAGCAAGCTCACTATCTAGTTGCTCTTTCCCAGTTTTGAGTCGTTTTGCAATCGACGGGTATTTGAAGTTTCGATCGGTCGCTCTGCGGAGGGCAGTTGCCTCAGCTTGTGATCTCTTTTTCAATCTATCACGCTCACCAGAGGTTGTAGTGATGGATGCAGTGATGAATGCGAATTCCTTAAGTGCAGAAATTGGGTCAAATTTTATTGGATCTGGTTTCGATTTACGAAGATCCTTTGAGAGAGGGCCACTATGGCTGGGTTCGGTATTGTTAACAACCGGGGAGAGCTGCGAGGAGACCATAGCTGGTGTTTGGGTTGGGTGATTGTAAGTAGGTAGATTTAGGGAAACATCAACGAGCTGGACAGATCTATAGGTCAATTAGAATCTGGTGAGGGAACAACTTGTTGAAGAGTTACCCACTTTCACGCGATGTCGGGTGGACTAGACTGAGTGGGGATTAAGGGAAAAATATGTGATGAAAGGGCAAGTGCAGGTAGTTAAAACACAGTTTCTCTGTCCAGTTAAGAGTTCCTGGGACTAAGGAAACTCGTTAAATAAAGATAATGGATCTATATGTGACCCGGTAATCGAGGAAGTCTTGCGAGGAACATTGAAAAAGTGACGCGCAACCAAAAGAAGTTCCCTGGCGTTAGCTGGGAGTGGGCGTCCTGCGGCCAAACATTGATCCGCTTTACCGCACGCGCGGCTAATTGGCAGGATGCTGAGTAATGGGCGTCCAGATCACAGACTCATTCAATTGCTTTCAACAAGAGCAATTAGAGTCTTAGACCAGGACTTGCTAGCACTCTTGCAGAACAGATAAACGCGGTTTATAGGCTGCTACTACAACGGGATTTGTAATTACGTGGGATATCGAGTTAATTGATTGTTTGCCTGCGTGTTGTCTCGCCTGCCATGGCTGCAGTGAGTTCTCCTGTCATGTATATACCAACATAATTGCTATTGCTACCTCACAGTCTTACTCTTATTTGATCACTAGGCTATATCCACCATTGCGGAAAGCAGGGAACTCAGGGGCCTAAACCTGGTTGCTGCGCACTCCCACATCAGAGGCCTTGGAGTTGATGCTGACACCCTCGAACCCCGTCATTCTTCTCAGGGCCTTGTCGGTCAGGAGAAAGCCCGAAAGGCGGCGGCAGTCATTTTACAGATGGTCAAAGATGGAAAGATTGCAGGTCGCGCGGTTCTAATTGCAGGACCTCCTAGCACTGGGAAGACGGCAATTGCGATGGGAATGGCACAGGCTCTGGGGCCTGATGTTCCCTTTACCATGGTCGCATCGTCAGAGATCTTCTCATTGGAAATGTCAAAAACGGAAGCGCTTACTCAGGCATTTCGCAAATCTATT